GCTCTGCTCTGTACCCATGCCCTTAAGGACAGTTTTCCAGGGGATTCCATTCAGCAATTCCTTGAGCAGCCTGAATTTTGCTGTCCTGAAGCACAGATCCTGACTCTGCTTATTGCCATACATGCATTCTTCAAGATCACAAACTCCACCATATCATGGTTACCACAGCCCCGGCTGCCTCCAATCTTAACCTCTATAATGCTCTCCTCTGCATTAGTGAGCACCAGGTGCAGTAAGGCTTCACCTCGGGACAGTCAATCTAATACACGGACTAGCAATTTGAATCATCCAACTTCACTTTTCCCTGCTACTGCACAATTTGTTACGATTACCATCCCAAATAGAGAGGAGTCAGCGCAGCAGCTGCAAGAACAGCGAGGACGATTTGAGACTCACCTGCTGCACTGTTTTCAGGCACGCTTGCTTCATACAGGCTATGGCTGAACAAAATCTCCTCCTCTTGTTCTTTTGTAAAGATAATGACCAGAGTCATTGCTGTTCGAGGTGAGGTACCTTGATCTGAAGCCATCACTAGCAGCCGTGTACTGAAGTCTTCAGAAGACAAGGGCTCCTGAAGAACGATGTCACCCGTCTCTGAGTCAATCTCAAATAAAGTTTCTGCTGCCAACAAACTAAAAACAATAGCTCCATTTGGCCCCAGATCCACATCCTCTGCTCTCACAGTGGCTACCGTCTCATTCACTGTGGTTTCAACAGGCACGAAGGCCCTGATGGGGCTCTGCAGAAACACCGGATTGTTGTCGTTGACATCATCGATGTGCACCACAATGCTGGCAGCACTGCTTCTTGGCAAATGGGAGCTACAGTCGCTCGCCACAGCCCTAAGCGTATACTGGGACTTCACCTCCCTGTCCAGCACCCTTGTAGTAACTATGGAGCCTGTTACACTGTTAATGGCAAACGCTCCAAAAGTGTCTCCAATGAGTGAGTATGTAACTTCACCATTCGGGCCGTTGTCTCTGTCAGAAGCAAAGAGGTCCAGGATGGCTGTGCCTTCCTCTAGGTCTTCTCTCACAGAGATGTGATACTGGTTCTTTTCAAACAGTGGGCTGTGGTCATTTTCATCCAGGACTGTTATGTACAGCAGTGCAGTGGAACTCCTTGGTGGACTGCCTAGGTCATGGCACTCAATTACAAGAGTAAAATTGCTGACATCTTCTCTGTCTAAGGTACGAGTGACCAACAGTTTTCCAGAAGTATTGTTTAGTGTGAAGTATTCTCCAACGTTTCCACCTTTCAAACACAAAAAAACAACTGCGTTTGGAAAAATAATCTCTTATGACTATCACAATGTTTATTACAATATCATGATCCAATTGCAAAGGCAGCTGGTGTGCTCGTGTATCCTTTTTCATATTTTATTCCTCTTATAAGAATTTCATATAAATCAGCAGGTGGCAACTACAGTAAATAGAGAACATCATATCAATTTACAGAACAGCTATATTGACAGATATGTGTCTTTTTCCCAAAGTTGCACACTTTATAAAGTCTCCTGTAACTATGCTGCATCACAAGATGACCTCTTTCAACCTTAGCTACAAGTTCCAGAAACCTATAAAGCACTGCTGACAATAGCAATTAGTTGCTCTTTGCTCTATTCTACAAATCTGTTTCTTGGAAATGAATAGTTGCACTTCAAGATCTTGATTTTGGGGAAAAGAAAAGAGAAAGTAAATATGAAGCAGTTGACAGAAGAAAAGTCAGCATTTTCAGTTGCAGTGAATGGCATACATACTTTATAACATGTAGAAAGACCAATAATGGCAAATAAATTTAAAATTGTAAAAGATCATGAAGTTAAAACCAAGAAAACAAAGAAATTCTTCACTGTTTCTTCAAAGAAAAATTTGTCAGCTGGTACCACAGTAGCTACCTGCTGTTTGAGCTAATGTTGGGAGCCACAAACCAAAGTAAGCATAGCATACTTGTATTTGTGCAAAGATTTTAAAAGAGGCTTTGAACAGCTGTGAAGCTTACACGGACATAGCAGACCTGGGGAGAGTTTGGCAATACGAAAACCAAGTATTACTTTAATTGGTGAGTGAAAGCTCTCACAAAATAAAATTAAAAAGTTAAAATTTGATTAGTTCTTGTACTTACTAAAAGAGTATATTTATGTTCACAGCTTCCACAACTATAATGAAAGGGATAAAATTACGCATTTGTGATGAAGGCCTTCTTCCAGGATTTGGTAGCTTTTGTTTTTCTCTTCTGTACCATTTCAAATTCAGAGAGCAGACTTAAAGTTTGCTTGGAAAAGGCTTATTAATACTGACAAAGGGGTAAAAGAGTATTTTCCCCATTAAGCACATAAAAAAAACACGTGAACAAGACAGTATATAGGAACACTAGCCTAAAACCTGGACACTGTTGTTTATATGCCTCCTGATCTAACAATAACGACAAGATATAACTTACCACTTATTTTGTATCTTAGAGCTCCGTTATTGCCAGCATCCATGTCTGCAGCCCTGGCAACGTAAACTGCTGAAGGCTGTTGATTCTCTGGAATACAAATCTCAAAGACAGGAAAGAAAAACTTGGGAGAGCTATCATTTTCATCCAGCACTTTGCAGATAACTGTTGCTGTGCTTGATAGAGATGGAGTTCCACCATCTCGAACCAAAACTAAGATTTAAAAACATAAAGCAAATATTATAGAAGTATACTACTCCTTAGCAATAGCAGAATAGTCATTATTTTTGCTATAAATAAAGCACATACTTCCCTGTTCCTGAATATATTAGCACTTCCATGTAACCCAGACTAAGTCTGATAGTAATGCCACAACCATTCTCACCTCCCATTGCACAAGCAGTCATAGCTACTTCATGCTGTTACCTTTAATACTGTAAACCTCCTGGGTTTCCCTGTCCAGTGACACAGTTGTTAACAACTCTCCACTGTCCAAATTTATCCTGAATTTCTCATATCCAGGTCCTGGTAGGATATCATACTGAAGCAAGGAATGTTGTCCTAAAAAGGAAAACAGAAGTGGTAATAAAACAGTCACTCTCATTACATGCCCTCTTTCCCCCCCACCTCCTAGGAAATGGATTAGAAATGAAATTATTATTCTCAGTGCAGTGAGTAACTGCTTCTTCATTAACACAAGAGATTAAAATTTAAAACTGGATCTTCCAAATCCTCGTCCTGCTACTGGATTGTGTATAAGTTTTCCAGGCATTCCAAAGACCTCAGCAGCATTTTGCAGGACCCAAGGCAAGTTACCAAACAAGCTGATGTATCATGAACTCAGACCACGGAATCCACACATTTGTCTTATGCTCTCCCTCAGGTAATAAATTATTTCTCAACAGGACATCAGGCAGTGCACCAGGCTGCTCTGGCTTTGGTTTTCCTCTTATTTCACTCAGAGCCAGTACAAGCATCTCTGTAAAGTATGACATTGAATAGCATTTCTCTGAATAAACATTCAGAGAAAACATCCAATTTTTGACACATCCACAAGTTCCAGGTAATATTGAGCTGGCAGAGGCCTAAGTCCCGTCAAAACTCACAGGGTTGACACTGACTTGTCTTCAACTCAAAAGCCTACTTGGTGGGCACTTCCACTGCACATCTCAGGCCTTTTAGACTGTTTAAGCTTGCAGACAAACCCTGAAATGATACCGTTGGTCTTTAAGAAGTCTTGTAGGGTTTTTAGTAGGGTTTAGTAGGTTTTAGTAAGGTTTAGTAGGATTTTTAACTTAAAGATTTTCCCTCTTTCAATGTTTTTCTGAGTGTCATTTTCAATCAGTTCCTAATTAGATCTACCATTTGTATACGATACTTGAATATTATTCTTCCTGTCCTTCTCTAGGAATCATAGCACAGAATCATAGAGTGGCTTGGGCTGGAAGGGACCTCAAGGATCATCAAGCTTCCAGCCACTAGAATATGCACTAGATCAGATTGCCCAGGGCCCATCCAACCTCCAAGGATGGGGTATCCACAAACTCTCTGGGCAACCTGTTCCAGCACCTGACCACTATCTCAGTAAAAAATTCCCCCTTGACGTGTAATCTAAATCTCCCTTCCTTTAGTTTAAAACCATTCCCCCTTGGTCCTATCATTATCTAGAGTAGTAGGATAGTAGAACAGTAGGATAAAACTGTACAGGACTTCACAAGTCATGCTTCCAAAGCTGCCTCAGCTGAACGAGAAATGGGATTCCACATTCCTAATAGTTATGACCATAAAATAAGCTCTCATATTTCTTCTATTCTTCAACACCCTTTAGAGGAAAATACTGTGCCCTCTCTATTATTGAGATCTTCAATGAGTTTAATCCCACATTCTACATGAAGAGCGACTACTACTCCACCTTGTACAATCATGCTCATTTATTTCCTTTTTTTCTTTTAACTAAGTTTCATTCAGTCATGCTGTGTTTTTTCATCCATCACAATCTTTTGGTAATGTAAGAACAGTGTACTTGGAAAACTACAGTGTTCTTAGTAATACTAAACTTAGTCAGAGTTAACACTACATTCTGTTCTCAACTAGAATAGCAGAAAATAAGACAATCTAAGCTGGAGTTGATGGAGAAACAGTTCTGCAAGAGAAGAAACAGAGCCTACGGTTTAAATGTCCATGACTGCCTTTGTTTGCTTTTGAATAGTTTTGCTGAATAGTTAACAAAGCTAATGACATTTGATTGAAAGAATTATTACTGTAAATGCATTTTCATCTAAACCAATTCAAGCAAGGGACTTATTCATGAAAACACACAGACACAAGAATTAGAGAAATCTTTCCAGCTTTCCAGAAAGCAGGGTGATTTCATGGTGCTCCTGTTGTAATGTGCAGGTACAAGTCAGCGGTACAAGATGATTTATGTGTAAAAAATCAGTAGAGGCACAAATTTTAGCAGTGATTTCCAAGAAAGACCTTTTGAAGTGAAATCAAGCTTAAAGCCTGGAGCAAATACAGAGCAGATGACAGATGCTGCTCTTCCCCTCCTAGATAATCCATGAAATAAGAAAACAAATAAAACATAAGGCTGATAATGGCTGTGATTGTCAGTAAGAATGATTCCTCCCTGTGGTCAGTTAGGGAACATTTAAGGTGAAAAAAATAATAAAGGGAAGAAAGTCCTCTACTGAGACTACGCAAATATTCCTGGGATTTGAACTGCAACTTAAACAGCAAATAAAAATGATATAAAAAATAGGAAGTGAAAAATCAAGGCCACAACGAGGAGTCTTCTACTCAAAAAGTAATAAAAATGAGTTGTGTTCGTATGACTACCATATAAATCTCATTTTCTTACATTATGAGCATCACTTTCAGTATTTGGAACAATTCTGCAACATACATATGACACTGGGCCAAAAATTGAAAATGTGACAAAAAGCCCCAGCAGAAGGGCTCTGGTTACTGGAAAACATATAAATTAAAACAATAATAATTAAACAAAGAGACAAAATTAACCAGGAAGGAACCATGAGAAACAATGCTGCTCCAGCCTAACCTGTCTATACCAGCAGATGCACACTGGCCAGCCACGTGTCACCCAGCAGACCTGAAGTGCCTTTCCTCTCCACTCAGCCAAGCCAGTAGTGCTCCCTCCTACTAAAGGCTTAAAATTGCATCTCCTGCTGTACTTCCCATAAAATGCACAATACAAAATAACAATAAATTTAATAGAGAGAGGGATGCCATCAGAAGAAAAAGGAATTCAAGAATTCAAGATAGCTATTTCTTTTCTATGTTATGTATCAATTTTTTACATCAAATATTAACTTTGTTTTTATAGGATGGGCCAAAAAGAAAATGGATGGAAGAATGAAGGAGACAGAGGTAGACAGTAATGCTGCTCAGCTATCATGAAGATTTTCATATATATGACTACTGACTCCTTCCTAACTCTCAGATACTTCACATACTTGTGGGGAAATGGCTCTTCCATATATCTCACATCAGCCTTTTGTAATCAGTATGCTCTGCTTTAAAATGGGACATCTTACTAGAGACAGAAGACCATTTCACTAACAGGATTTTTTTTTTTTTTTTTGATAGCACAATCTTAAACAATTGTAAAGATGTGCAGAAAGCGAACCCAAATCATTTGCAGAGCAGAGACAACTTTTGGGTCAAATGCAGCAATATCCGAGAGTTTAAAATCTCTCCTCATTTTTTATTTTAATGCAGATCACAGGTTCAGTGCAACTGCTTCAGGTTACATCAACTGCATATACCATGCTTTGCATTACTGAAGGCACAATGATCTCCAGACCCAATCTGTAAATCCTGTGCATTTCAGATATTACAAAAGTTGAAGAACTGGAGGGAGTTTTTTGTTGGTTAGCGAAGATTCTCACGTTTCATCATTATCTGTGAGCATATTAACCATTCTTTTTATTCATTTACTTTCTGTATGTTTGAAAAAGCATGTATGTGAAACCATATTTGAAATCCAGGACGGTATTCAAAATTGCTTCACAGCTCAAGTGCCTGGAAATTCTTGGATGACAGTGCCCCTCTCTGGTCAGAAGACATTAGTGCATGTTTGCTGTTATGAAACTGGGATTTGAACTTCTGAGGTAATTTAAAACTAGTAAAAACTCATTGAGAGAAACAGAAGTGTCTAAATATTGACTCTAATGGAGATTACTACTCTTTTCTGAATTAGAACCAGAATCCTCTGTTTTCATCTGGAGTGCGTTGACCTACCCCACATTGCCCATGCACTCAAGTTATACTGAATATATTAATTAGGGCTGAGGCTAGCCAAGTGCATAAGTCAGAATATCTCCAAGCCCTGAATGAATGTTGAGAATATGAACTAACAGCCATGTTTTGGAACTCAAACGCAGACATTACCCTGGGAAAAGCATGACGTTTCTACATACAAGCACAGAGCAAAGTAAGATTTGATCAGTCTACAATGTCCACAATAGCAAAAAGGTTGAAAATACCTGCATCTCTATCCACAGCTTCCACTCTTACGACCAGCTCCCCTGGATCCCGGTTTTCATAAACTGCAGTCTCATAAAGCTGCTGCAGAAATATTGGGCTCTCATCGTTCACATCAAGAACGAGGACAGTTAGAACCTGTGTTGCGGAGAGGGCTGGACTGCCATCATCAAGAGCCATGACCGTCAGACTGTAGTGCTCCTGAGCCTCGCGGTCCAGGAGCTGGGCTGTACTTAGGAGTCCTGTTATAAAGAATGGAAACAGTGAAGAAGCCTCAGCACCAGGTTAGGATCTCGATTGCTCCTTTGCTCACACTAAAGTACATTCTTGCCACTGCTGCAAGGCTTCCAGACGTTGGAGTAATTCCTGTGAGAGTAGCCCAGAAATGTTCATTTTGACAAGAGGGGTAATTGGGATTCATGAAACATTCAAATGAGGTTCAAAGAGAGAAATATTTTACTTAACTCTGGGCTTTGCATTATACTTAACTTCATATATCTTCATAGTTGTTGGTTTTTTGCACATCAGTTCTCCGATTAGCAACTCCACAAAGCAATGTCAGCTGTATCACATTATGGATTTAAAATCAGAATAAGAATCTGAAAATACTGTAACTGTTACAGTGAAATTCTTATTTCTGTGGAAATGGAATAACAGCCACAGAACTCATTCAGGAACCAGGAAACTTCAGAAGGCTGTAGAAAAAAATTTGACAGCACTTTGAGCACCTACAAAATGCATTCTATCTGCGGTGTGCACTCCTTCATTCCTTTGATCTTGATTTTGCCTTTCCTCACATCTACAGGTGGCACTGTATACATATATACAAGCTTTAAGTATGCACTGTGTAAAAAATCAGTGTGAAGCATTCCACTGCACACATTTTCCCCAGTAAAGCACTGGAAGGCATTTCTGTACAACACAGTCAGAGTGTCATGCAGAAATTGCTAAGTCTCACTAAGCTTTCAGCACTGCCACACTTGTATGGTGCTTGATACTCTGGGTGGAGTGGAGTGTCATTGTCATTCATTATTTTGTTATTGCACTGTATGCATTCCCAAATATTGCCATGATAAGAACAGTATAAGAACAAGAGAGTTACAGTACCTGTGATTTCATCCAATATAAATGATCCGTTTTCATTGCCTGAAATTAAGTGATACATAACATGTCCATTTCTTCCCTCATCAGGATCCTTTGCAGTTATATGGTGCACAAGGAGGCCCACGTCGGCATCCTCCATGACATAGCAAAGAGGTGAAGATATAAAGCTGGGACTGTTGTCATTGACATCCAGAATAACAATTTTTGCAGTCAGAGAATCACGTCTGCGATCAGCCACATTTATTGTCTGGTCTGTTGCAGATACTGTAAGGATCACAGAGTGAGTAATCTCCCTGTCCAGTGGGGATGCTGTGACCAAGGTACCATGCAAAGGGTGAACAACAAATGGATTTTCAGCGATGCTACTCATTTCCAGGGAATACTGTATTTTGCTGTTTGGAGAACTGCCGTCTCCGTCTTTTGCATTGAATGTGTAAACCAGAGTGCCAACAGGTACATTTTCCTCTATGCCAATCACTATGAAGTCATCTTGAAAATGTGGAGAATGATCATTCAGATCTTCTACATCAATACTGAGGAAGACAGTATTATTCTGTGGGGGATTATTATTGTAATCCTTTATAATAACTTGCAAAAAGATGTGTGAAGATGTTTCATAGTCAAGTTCCTTGTAGAGAAAAAGGTCTCCTGTCCAACTGTCTACTTCAAAATAAACATCATCGTCATCTTCAGAGACACTAAAACACAGTTTCCTATTAGTTGTCAGGTGATTACCAGGCAACTTTACAGAAGTGAATACTTGTGCAGGTTTAAAATTTTCAGGTATGACAAAGTGCTTGAAATCTTGAGAGAAGACAGATCTCCCTGTGGGAAGTGGGATTACCTGTAACAAAAACACGACAACTGACATATTTTCCCAATGTATCAGAGGCAGTGTAATGATAATTATTTTCCTTGACAATTTAATTATTCATCACTTCTGAATATGTTATTATACGTATGTTATTATTATATATGTTATTATATGTACTAGGTATGCCTTGAAGACAGAAAACAAACTTGACATGCTACAACAACGTTCAAACAGTACTTAACCAGATGCTCCATAATTCTTTTCTTCATTCCCATACCACAAAAAGGAAGAGGAAGAGGAAGAGGAAGTGGAAGAGGAGAAGGAAAAGGAAAAGGAAAAGGAAAAGGAAAAGGAAAAGGAAAAGGAAAAGGAAAAGGAAAAGGAAAGAGGGACAAGACTGTCTGGTACCCACTGAACCACAGGCATCCAAATACAGGAACTCTAAACACTGCTAGTAGATATTTTTCTTCTCTTTTCCAGTGTTTGTAATGGCTTCCTACTAATGCATAAACACCTTCCGTTCATAAGGCAACTCATAATACTGCTCTGTATTCAAAACAAAAATGAGTTTGCCCTCTCATTTCCTCACTCAAGAGAAAAACAAAGTAAAGAAAACTATAAAACAACAATATTTAGTTCCAAATTTTTCCTATCTTCAGATTATTTCCCTAGATTCCCCCAAAACTGTTAAACTGCTTTTTAATTTTTATTTTTATAAAGAAAATAAGTACGCAGCATCATTTTTCCTATCTGTACAATACCAAGAAGTACCTGGATCTCAACAACAGCCTGTCCTTGAAGGGAAGGCCTCCCCTGGTCCCTGGCTGTGACCATCATTCTGTAGCTTGATCTCTCAGCATATGACAGAGGACGGGTTGCTCTCAACTCCCCGCTGACAGCATCGATCTGGAAGTATCCTATATCTTCTTCTATATGGGAAAAATGGGTATCAGTTACTGCAGACCTCATCAACTCACCATATACCTCCATCATAACTAATGAGTAAGAAGGAGCAGGACACAAAGGAAAGGGAACCTGCTACAATCACTTGGATTTCTCAGACTCATCTGGCTCAGCTCCTTGAGTAAGTAATTACTATAGCCAGCTTAACCTATACCAAAGCAACTGCTTGTTTTTGTGTTGATGCTGCTCATATTAGTGATGAGCATCAGGAGAACAGCAGACACCCCAGGACCACTACTTCTATCTCCAGTGCCAGTTGGGAAGCAGGGACAGGGAGAAAATTAAGACTTGGTCTCTGAAGAGCAATGAAGGGTCAAACAGGTAATGCTAAATACACTACCACAAGCTAAAAAAAAGACTCCCCTGTCCTTAAGACAACACAACCACAGCAATGCAGCCTTCCCTGCCTCTGCTCCCAGCACAGACACAACTGGGAATGACCAGCATCTTACACTGACTGGTTCAAGAGCAATGCATAAATAGTGGGAATTAGGCTTTTATCTGCCACCAAGGACTGGCTGTATGTTCTAATTGAACATCCTATTGTATTTATTCCAGTTGCAAGGAAAAAAATCTACGATGGAAGAGTAACTAGCTCTTTGTGAATTCTCCATTTTCAAGGAACACAACTGAAATCAGTCTCCAATTTTTTTAGTAAAATTGGAAAATATCTATTACGTCGTATACATTACCAGAAACTGAGGAAATCAAAGTTGTCATAACTCCTTCTCCCTTAAAATACTATGCAAACAATTTTGGTGTATTAATTTTTAATAAAGTGTGCTGGCAGGTTAAACAAAGTAATGTAGAACTGCTGCTATTCTAATAAGCAACTGTGGTAAAAATAAACTCAGTGCATAAGGACTAAGGAAAACACCCATAAGGAACCATACTTCCATAGGCACCTAAGAGAGCATGAAGCTGTTGATGTTCTCCAAATCTGCACATGCAAATTAATTACCTGGTAGTGTAACACAGTAACATAGTAGTGTTCATTTGAATATACATTTTTATTTGTCTGTAACGGCAAAATACTTGCACCTGTAGAATATGATCAAATGTTGAGCAGGCAGGTTAGAAAACAGAGTTCTGACAACCAACACATCGCTTTTCTCAACACTGTTTTGTTATTTTTAGCAACTCCATGTTTTTAATGCTCCACGAGTCCCTTCTGGGTTCCTCTCACAGGCAGAAACACAACAAACAGATTGACAAAGGGAAACAATATGTAGAGACGATTATACTGAATGAGACAGGTCCACATTTTGCATTTTTTGGTGACAGCTTCAAAATACTAATGCTGCTATATTAATATTCTCGTACATTCTGGTTTAGGTCCCAACAATGTGTCTCCATGCACAGATAGGCTATTTTGTTCTGTGTAACAGGAAGCAGTTAAGAAAAACAGCAAAAATAGGAAAAAAGAATAGAATGTGAATGCCATTCAAATATTTTTAACATATTGCTAAAACTGACATAATTGATAGAGAAAGCTAACAGTTACTGAAGACATCCTGTGACTCTAGACACTGCTTAAGTGGCTAAGGACCAATAATTGCTTGCTTCTTCATTTGAAGTAACAGAGTGTATAGTTAACGTCAACTGAAATAGGCATCAGTCAACACAGCTTCTGGAGGTTCAAGTTCATTAGAAACTGAAAGGTAAGGTTCAGGATTTATATTTTTTAGTAAAATAAGAGTGATGATCCCAAATCCTCAACATTCTTCAGAATATCTCAAGCTGGAAGGAACTGATACAGATCATCAGGACCATTTAGATGACCAGAAAAGGAACATCCTTTAGACACTGTCACTCCACTAAAATTCAAGTATTGCATGAAATCATCAGTTTTGTACATTTTCCTGGAGACAGAAGTAACAAGGAAGTCTGATAATTTTAATTTACTCATGAATAATTTCAAAGGGGAGACGATTGATCCCAAGTCAGAAACATATGGCACATACTAAGAAAAAAGACAAATCAATTATAAATATTTTGCCCAAGATAGTTGAAGGCAAATGTGAATGTTAGCTTGCTCTCTTTCTAAGTACACTCCGAATTCTCCTCTTTTTTCTTTTGTGAGTTCAAAGTGAAGAATAAGGGAAAAAAGTGGGTACTGTGTCTGATACTTAGAGCATGCCAATCATAGCTTTAGAAGCTCACACTCCCTGCACTTCCAGAAACCTTTTCTCAACTTTTCTCTCCATAAATCACCTCAATGAGGCAACTGCTGCCTTCATCACATGGTCAGGTTTTAATGTATCTGCAGAAAGCTTAAGGATTACTTGTTTGGGTTTTCTTGAAAGAGGGAGGGATATTTTGAAGGAAACACTGAAGGCTGAAACTCATCCCCCTGCCATATTTTCATTTTTCACTTTATAGACTTTTTCCTCATATAATTTACCAGCATCTGGTAGCCCTCCTGCATGTCTTAATCTCTTGTTTTTATCTTTATCTACAGTTGTTTTTCTCTAATATCCAGTTTTCCAGTTAACGCCATGTCTACGTTTAGCAAATATGGCCATAAACTACATCACAGTTCTTCAAGTTATAGTACTGAACAACACCTCTGAACTAGAAAATACTATTTTAAGTATAAAGTAGGTAAGAACTTCACCATGTCACAGAAGAGCAGATGTCAAAGGCTGTAAGCCAACCAAAACCAAAAACAAAAATTAGCATCAGAGAAGTTCAGCTGTTTCTGTTTTTGTTTACCAGGAACATATCTACTTGTAAGAGGGGTCTTTTAAGTGGGTTGGGTTTTTTTGTTTTGTTTTGTTTTTGTGGTGGTGGGTTTGTTTTTTTTTGTTGGTTTGTAGCTTCTCTTTTTACCCTTTTGTCCTTTCTAGACTTTCATTTTCAAGACCAGACCTATTTTGTGTTGCTAGTCTTTTTTACAATTGGAATTCCTTCCCACTCCCCTCTGCAGCTCTACAGAAGGATTTTCTTACTAAAATCCAATGTGCTGCTTAAAGGAGGGAATACAGACAGATGTGCAGAGGTGGTGACCCCTGAAGAACGCTAATACAAGGCTAACAAAATGATACAGCAAAACTAAAACCCACTTAGCTTAATTGTTTGCTCAGATTTTCTGCTGATCCTTCTGATTCCTGCCTCAGTCTGTCATAAACCATTCTTCTAGCAGGAGAATCTTCTTTGGTCTTGGGAAAGGGAGATCATCTTTCCTTTACTATGTTAAGACAACTGACTGAAGCACTGAATTGCTCAGCACAAGATCATGGTCCTAATCCCCTGTGAGTGCTGTTCAGACGCCCTCTGTCTGGCCACACAGACACCCAAATCCCTGAGAACATGCGGTAGAGGGGAGAGAAGGAAGCTGTCTGCACCTACAGACATACTTAAGGCATAGAATGGTCCTCTTTCATATTTATATGGGCAGCACTTTTCTAACAGACAAAACAGACAAAACAGACTTGAAATTCTGTATGCATGCAAACATCTCTAACACGTTGATTATTTCAATGTATCTTTGCTTAGGAATTTCACTTTAGATTCTTACCAGGTTCTGTTGAATACAGTACTGTGCCATTGTTCCCAGAATCAAAGTCCTTTGCAAAGACAGAGGTGATGAGCATTCCCGATGGCTGCCCTTCCAAAACCTGTCATCAAGCAGTTGATAAATTAATTTGCAAGCATAAATGGATAACTGTGAGCCTCAAAAGAAATTCCTTCCCTGAGCACAAGCACATACTGCTGCTGTATTTTCCATCTCAATAATGTGTACAATCAGCACAAATAGCATTTCAGAAAATGTTAAAGTAATACAGTTCTAACGATCACAGAACCAAAGAATGGTTTGGGTTGGAAGGGAGCATCAAGCTCTGCCCCCTCTGCCATGGGCAGGGTTGCCAACCACTAAATCAGGCTACCCAGGGATCATCCAATGTAGTCTTGAAAATCTCCTATTATGGTCCGCATATATTACTAATCTAAAAATATATATGAATTAATATAGCAGACTCAGAGTTCGGAAACTGGAAAAGACTACTACACACATAAACAAAATTATACATATATCCTTTGTGCATAACAGTCTACATATTTTGCTTTTTTTTTTTCATTTTTTAAATTTTATTTGTTTAAAAATTTTGAAGGTCCTGAATATACCTGGCTAAAAAAAAATTTGCAAAAAAAAAATAAAATAAAATAAAATCAGACCAGTAGCTGCTCCCTCATCAATTAATTAACCTTAACTGAATCTCAGTTAGGTCAGGCATTGCAGGCAATGCACTGGACTGAAAGACGTGTGCTGCGGTAGCTGTTTCACTCAGCAGTGCACAGGTACCAGCCCAGCTCTCTGCTACGCAGAACAAAACCTCCTGTATAGTTTGAGCTCTTACCACAGGGTGGTGCTCACAACAAACCCTAGAAACCTGCAGCACAGGCTGCTACAGACCTTGATGCTTAGCTCTTTTCCAGGTGCAATCTGAGGGAAGATAGGTTTATTATCGTTGACGTCCATCACTGAGATGTACACAGTTGCTGTGACATTAAGTGGTGGTGACCCATGATCAGTCACTAGTACAGTCAGCTGGTGGTGTGCTTGTTTTTCACGGTCTAAGGCAACCCAGTTTATAACTTCACCTGATGGATATGGAAAATGAGGGAGAAAGGGAATTACATATTATTGTATGCTAGCACTAATCTTATGACATGTAGTAATCATTTGTCTTTTGATATATCTTGTTGCTGACACTAAAATCCCAGGTTTGTGAATTCAACTCCATACAAATGTTATGTCAAAGTATGCACTTGTACTTTAGTGATATATTACATTCTTCACTGTACTTTGGATTCCCCTGAGCAAAGACATAAAGCAGCACAAAGCAACACACTGACCTTCTAAACAAATCCAACTGGGATTTTCTTCATCAAATTTCAGGACAGATAAATCAGTGAGCACAGGATTTTAACTGCTGATAAATGGCCTTTATATGCCCATGGGTTAGGCCACTCTGAACACAACATCTGTACATTGATCAGGAAGCCTTATGTCTCCTATACATTCTGGTAAACCCAGTAAATAAATCTGACGCAATCTCCTCTCCATCTGCTCACCCATACTCAATATAGCTGAAGATTTGTGGTTGACCAAAGCCCTTCACACAGATAACAGAGGTACTTTTAGAATAATACATGGTTAATTCCTGGGATTCTGTTCGCCTTTAGATTTCTTTAAGAATTCCCCACAAACCTTTGCTTTGAAGTAACAGTTTTGAAATTCATAGAGAAATTCTGCCTACGAAGACAGAATCTCCAAGAAAATTTCTAGATAGCAGATCTTTAAGCATTAGATATTATTTTGCTAAACTGGATTACTTAGAATGCCTATGTTCCTTACAAGATCCCCTTCCTCTGGGATTTCCATGCTGTATTCTGTACTGCTACGCTGCATGGATATATTATCCATCACACAATGCATTTGAGATTCCCTGCAGAGTACACACTTTGTGAAGAACTTATGTCAGCCAATTTGCTTTTTTCACTACCATGCACAATATGAAGTCCATATTGATTGATGTAGTTTGTGGAAGCTTCCAGAAATGCTTTAAAACACTGTCAAACATCACACTTACTTTTATAATTTTTTACAACCGATTCATACTTTTCAATTGTACTAGGTCACAGGCAATTGCCTGTCAAGAGTCTCATATCTACTGAAGCTATAATTTAATATTTCCTTTCAATTTGGAACAGTCAAAACTTGTACTCAAGTGATTAGAATGAAGCTATGAAAACAATCAAATTAGTTAGTTTATCCTTCATAAACATGATTTATTTCATTCTCTCATCTGTGAAGCTTTCAGTTAGCATTTTCACGTACCAACCAACCCAAGAGACTCACAGCATTTCCTGTAAAGCTTTACACTTTATTTCCATTCCTTTAGGGTGGGTTGCTTTCCAAAAGCAATATTAGGCAGATTATAAATCATAAAAATGCTACCTGTGTTGGAATTCATCTTGAAATACTTTTCATCAGACAGGAGGAAATATGAAAGTTGTCCATTTCTTCCCGAGTCTTTGTCAACAGCTGTGACAGTGCCAATCACACCCCTGGGGATTGCATTTTCCTCCATTTTGAAGAAGTAGCTCTCATGCATAAACACAGGGGAATTATCATTTTCATCCAGGACATTTACTATTACTGATGCACTTGCATTCCGCATGAAGTTTTCCTCCTCTGAGGTGCTGACCAGGGCTCTAAAACTAAGAATCTGTGCACATTCATAGTTCAGATGTTTCCGAAGATAAATATAGCCAGTATCAGACCTGATTCCAAATGCAGCAGAATCTGTGCTAGACTCTATGGAATATGTCAGCCTGGAACTAACATGGTGCGGATCAAATAAGGAGGCTTGAACCTGAAGGATAAGGGAACCTGGAGACGTAGCTTCACTGATTTCTACATGGTACACTAACTTCTGGAAAACCAAAGTGGGGCCCATCCTCTGCTCTTCAACAGTCACTGTCAACAACAGCAAAGAACTCAGAGGAGGACTTCCATGGTCTTCAGCTGCTATGTACAGAGTATATTCTTGCTGTTTATCCTCAAACACCATTCTGATGAGGTTTACCACTCCAAGACCTGAATCGATACTAAATGCGTCTGTCTGATTGCTGGTAAGACTGTATTTGATTGCCCCGTTGAGGCTGCTGTCTTTATCTTCTGCATGAGCAATGTACACAGCAGTGCCAGGAGGCTGTGTGCGTGAAATAATTACCGTATCAGATCTGGTAAGAAATACTGGAGGGTTGTCATTAACATCTATCACAGATATATTGACGTGGGCGCTGCTGTAAACAGGAGACTTTCCCAACTGTGACTGAATGGTGAGCGTGAAAACAGACTGGGTTTCATGGTCAAGCTCTTTCTTGATGCGAATGATACCAAACTGGGAGTCAATATAGAATCTTCCTTGTGGATCACCAGAGGAAATTCTGTATGAAACCACTTCTAAAGAATCTATAAATAAAAATAATGAAAGTTAAAAAGAATAATACTAGTAGAGTGATAGCATGAAGGCTGTTGAGAACTGTGAAGAATGCATGCTATTCAATTCAATGGAATAGGTGTAAGCTACACAGAATTTGACTTGGGTTTTTTATGCTTCCTAGTTCCTGTCCCCAGAGCCCTTCAATAAGATATATACAGCATAAGGTTCATCTGAGTGTATTTATTCTGTCTACTTGTGCACTGTTTGCTTTTCTTCTCTGGTATGATAAACCTAGTGAAAAACTGTATAATAGCCTCTTGTTTTTCCCTAATCTGAACTGCAGAAAAATGCTCTATAAATTAGTCTTAAGGGAATCACTTCACTACACACAGTCATTCACTGCAGCAGGGAATGAGACAGGTAGCAGACCCCTGCAAGAAGGGTATTTTACTGACATTACTGATCATGGATGACCACTGCTTCAACCTGAGGAAGCCAGATGCTGTCTAAAGCAAGAGCTATGTAAAGGCTTACTGCCAAGGCTGCTCTGCAGGTGCTACTTCTCTGGGGACAGTGGTCAATATACTGTCCCTTCCAAGGAGAAGAAAATGGAGGGACACGACTAATCACAAATTCCTGAGACTTCTCTCTCTGCCGCACTTCACTTGCAGGTTCATCACTAAGCCACTATATGGACACATGGCTCCCAGTGCTCTGCGTAAGAACCAAACATACACGGTTCTCAGGACAGGGTATTTTATGACAACGGCTTGGCAAAAGTTAACCCATTTCCCTCTAAAAGTGACTATACAAAACAAATAGCTTAACCATAGGTGTTTATTGGGCCTTAAAAATACATATCTAAACTTCACCATTTGATTTGGAAAAAAAAAAATATTTTTTGTGGCAGCGCATCTTACAGATTCTCTGGTAATTCAGAATGCTCTCCACTCATGAGTGTTGCTCTCAGATATTCTTTCATGGCAAATGTTTTAACACAAGCCACAATCAACCAGACCCTTATACTTTCACAGCGACTCCCCATCTCCACATTTACAATTACACAAATCCCTCTGGAAAATACAGCACCTGCTTGCATGCAAAATTTGTATTAGAAAACTAAGGTTTCTTTAAACCATACTGCAAAGCAAGTAAGTAAATAAAAGTTAAAAAATGGGGGCAGTTGCCATTCCCAGTGGGCCACCAAAGAAAATCTCCATCTGATCTACAGGGCATCCCAAAATAGCACCAGTTGTTTTAAACACCAGCAGTAAATACTATTTGATGCTCAACAGAACTAGTAAGTCATCTGAAAATTTCAATAAATATTATCTGTAGACATTTCCCACTGATGGCCACAACTGTAAGAGAGAATCATCTCTGAACACACAACTCACCTGGAGGCTCTCTGGCCTTTACAGCTCCAACCAGGCTGTCTTCAGGTGCATCTTCGGGTACAGAAAAAGCATACTGGGATCTCTCAAACATGGCAGGGGCCAAAGTGGTCTGAAGGATGTGCACCGTGACAGCCGCATTGGTGGCTGAGGAAAGTCCACCCCCATCCTGTGCAGAAACTACCAGAAGCACCATAGGATGTGCCAGGTGACTGAAAGCGGAGATCAGGTAAATAATTCCTGAAAGTGTACAGAAGTAAAGGAATAATGAAATAAGTTCAGGATTCTCTTCTCCAAATCTAGCAGGCTGTCACAATGGCTTCAGCATTCCTCTGGCTCTAAGAAAGAGTGACGGACAATGTTGAAAAAAGCTTTTCAGGACTTTGAGACACAACCAAGAAAAAATGTCCGAAAGTAGTGCCTATGTACATGCTTTACCACTTTCCAATCACTAGGCATGCAGCGTTCCCTTTTAAGGGCCAAAGGGCCAAATTTTCTCAAATTATAGAGTCTTCTACCATGCACAAAGCCACTCACAGTAAGCTCTGTGTCACAACACAGCATTCCTGTTATAGAAACAAATTTGGCTAGATCTCAGAACCTCACTGAGCTAGTGGGGTTGTCGGGAGCTTTCAGCAATGTTGGGAAAAGGACATTTTCACCAGTATTAACATTTAAGAATCTTGAAGTGAGTTAGAGGAAAAAAAGATGTTACAAGAAGGAATTTATCTTTGCAAACAGTAAAAATTAACTTTATTTCCAACAAAATTTGCAGACGATTAATTCAATACCCCACTGAAAATATCCACCCAGAGGGGAGTTGAAGCCCCCAGATACAAATCTTAGGAGCATTGGGCTCTGTGGAAATTATCTGGAAAGCAATCACCCGCTGTCTGATTACAAGTTTATATTAAAATATCATCTACTGCCATCAATTATATTTCATCTAGAAACAAAAATGCAATTCTCTGTCCAGAAATACAGCACTTTGGATGTACTTTCCTTAAGATAAACACATTTTCATCCACTAACTCTGGTGAAGGAGAGACTAGCTGTCTCCAAATACATTTTCTTCATGCTACTAAAATAAGTCTTTATGAACTTCAGATAATTCTGCCTGATTTTCAGTTACTCTGTATATTGCTACAGAAATCCACATCTACACCAGCACCTAAAGATTATTAGATAGAAAGAATGCACGTGGCAGGAATCTTGTCCCATCTTCTGCAATGAAAGTTTGTCTAAACTTCAAAGAAAGCTTTACTTGAGCAAAGACATCTCAGGAGTGAGAACTGCATCCAAAATGTAGCTCTCTACTTTTAAGCTCTGAGCTACATTTGTAGCTTCCTGGCTCTCAAGACAGGTTTAGTAAGGATGATGTTAGGCACGTAAGTCAGTCACTGAATGGTCCTATTTGTCAGACAGGGTAAAAATTAGGAGAATCAGTGCATGATTCCACTACAGCATATCTTCTGAAAATTCGGCATGAAGCCATGCAATGCACTTTTAAGCAGAATAACAGAAAATGTATAAAAATCCTTATAAATATTGAAATGTGCATGTTTTACGCTTTCCAGGTACTGTCAGGACATTATAATAATAAGCTGTGCCCTGACATGCTTAAAATGCCTTCCAAACACCTTCATGATCAAGGAAGAACGCCTTCTATCAACAACAAAAGACAGCTATTCCAGTGTGACAAACCACAGTAAAACCTCAAAGATATAGGTGGATTCAAAATTCATTATCAATCCGGTTCCTATATCCAATAACCGATACAATTCCAAGAATCAACTTTTTTTAGTTTTTTTTTTCTTTTTTTTTTTCTGGTCTTCTGATAATTGTGTTTTATGATTAGTTAGCTTAACCTGATAGCATTCCAGAGACATAAACTTCTGTCGTTTCCTGAGGTAATCTGAGCAACTGTAGCTCGAAGGAAAAAGGTTTTTAAACTTTTTTCTTTTTCTTTTTTCTTTCCCAGAGGTTAAACTTATAAGTATGGATTTTCAACATTGCTGCTGCCGAATTAAATGAAAACATGAGATGGACTGTATACTACTAACTTTACCTATTAACTAATGGGTAGTTTTCTATTGAAAAGCCCTACATTCTCATTTTCATTTTGGATACTTCAAGATCACAGAATCACAGAATCAAAGAATTGTAGGGGCTGGAAGGCACCTCTAGAGATCATTGAGTCCAACCCCCCTGCAAAGCAGCCCCCTACAGCAGGCTGCTCAGGTAGGCATCCAGGCTGGTCTTGAATATCTCCAGAGGAGAATCCACAACCTCCCTGTGGGCAGCCTGTTCCAATGCTCTGTAACTTCTCAGTGTGAAGAAGTTTCTTCACATATTGGTGCAGAACTTCCTATGCTCCAGTTTCCCCTTGTCCTGTCCCCATAGATTGCTGAAAGGAGGTTGGCCACGTCTCTTTGACTCCCACACTTAAGATTCTTATAAACATTCATCAAATTCCCTCTGAGTCTTCCTTTCTCAAGGCTGAACAGACCCAGTTCGCTCAGCCTTTCCACACAGGGGAGATGTTCCAGGCCTTTTATCATCTTTGCGGCCCTCCACTGGACTCCTTCCCTAGTTTTTGTACTGGGGAGCTCAGAACTGGATACAGTACTCCAGATTAGGCCTGACAGGGCAGAGCAGAGGGGGAAGATCACCTCCCTTGCCCTGCTGGCCACTTGCTACTTTTAATGCACCCCAGGATCCCATTGGCCTTCCTATGCTGCCATCTTCTCTGCAGAGCTCCTCTTCAGCAGGTCATCCCTCAGCCTGAACTGATACTCACGGTTATTCCTTCCAAGGTGCAAGATTCTTTACTTGCTTCTGTTAAACCTCATCTGGTTTATTGCTGCCCAGCTCTCCAGTCTGTCTGGGCCTTGCTGAATGGCAGCACATACTTCAGGTGTGTCAGCCACTCCTCCCAGCTTTGTATCATCAGCATACTTACTGAGGGTGGATACTATCACCTCATCAAGACCGTTGATAAAGATATTGAACAAGACCAGACGCAGCACCAACCCCCGGGGAACACTGCAGGTCACCGGTCTCCAACCAGACTCTGCACCGCTGATCACCACCCTCTGAGCTTGGCCAGTCAGCCAGTTTTCAACCCACCTCACCATCCACTCATCTATCCCACACTTTCTCAGCTTCAATATCAGGATGTTGTGGGAGACAGTATAAAAAGCCTTGCTCAAGTCAAGTTAGTTGACATCTACTGCTCTCCTTCCAACTACCCAGCTGGTGATGCCATCATAGAAGGCTATGAGGTTGGCCGAGCACAATTTTCCCTTGGTGAATCCACGCTGAATATTCCTGATGACCTTCTCTTCCAATTGCTTGGAGATGGCATCTAGAACAAGCTGTCCCATCACCTTTCCAGGGACAGAGGTGAGACTGACTGGCCTGTAGTTTCCAGGATCCTCCTTCTTGCCCATTTTGAAGACTGGAGTGACACTGGCTATCCTCCAGTCTTCAGGCACCTCTCCTGTTCTCCAAGACCTGTCAAAAATGATAGAGAGTGATCTGGCCAACACCTCTGCCAGCTCCCTCAGCACATGTGGATGCCTCTCATAAGGGCCCACGGATTTGTGCACACTGATCCCACCTAGATGCTCCCGGACCATCTCCTCCTCAACCACAGGAAAGCTCACCATTTCCTGGACTCTCTCCTCCCTCCAGGGTCCAGGAGTCCCAAGGGGGGTCTTTGAAGTGAAGACCGAAGCAAAAAGGTGTTCAGCATCTCCACCTTCTCAGCAACAACCATTACCAGGACACCTCCCTCGATCAGCAGGGGACTCACATTATACTTAGTCTTCCTTTTACTGTTAACCTTCTTATTACCCTTTATCTCCTTTACCAGCTTCAGTTCCAGGTGAGTTTTAGCCTTCCTCATTGCTTCTCTGCGGGCCCTGACAACACTCCTATACTCCTCCCAAAAGGACAGACCCTCCAGATATCTGGATGATTGAAGTCCACCATGAGAACCAGCACACGGAATTGTGAAACTACTTCCAGCTTCTTGTAGAAGGCCTCATCGACTTCATCTTCCTGATCTGGTGACCTGTAGTACTCCCCCACAGCAACGTCAGCCATACCAGCTCACCCCTTAACTCTCACCCAGAAGCTCTCCACATGTTCTTCCCCCTCTCTCAAGTGGAGTTCATTACATTCTATTTGGTATCTCACATAAAGGGCAACTCCTCCACCTTGTTTCCCCAGACTGTCTTTCTGAAAAAGGACATAGCCCTCCATGACAGCATTCCAGTCATGTAAGCACACCACGTCCCTGCAACCATATGCAGATCTCTAGCTTGCCCTGTTTACTTCCCAAGCTACATGCACTGGCATACAGGCACTTAAGGGAAGCAGCAGGTGCAGTTACCCATAGAGGGACACGGATTTTAGATTTTAGATGAGGTAACAGCAACATGACCTTTTCTGAGGAGTCCTCGCACAATCCTATGGGAAAACTCAAAGGTTTTTCCCTGCAATCTCCAACAGTGACAACATCCCTCAGCCCTACTCTGTCTCATCTAACTCCCCTCTCTTCTCCCTTTGGACCTAGTTTAAAGCCTCGATAATCAATCCAGAGAGCTGGCTCCCCTGAACACTCATGTCCCACTTGCTCAGTCGGAGTCCATCAGGAGCCCACATACCCGGTTTCTCAAAGGCCTGCCTAAGATCAAAATACCCAGAGCCTTGATCAAGACACTGTGCCTCAGCCAGTCATTTACCCAACATATTCTCCTCCATCTTCCTGGGTCCCAGCTACCCATCAGAAGGACAGAGGAGAACACTACCTGCACCCCTGATCCCTTCAACATCACTCCAAGAGATGCAAAGTCCTTTTTACCATTCATCAGTTTCATCACTGCAGCATCCCGGGACCCAGTCTGAATGACAATATAAGGACAGTAGTCTTCCGGTTCAATGAGCTGTGGTAGAACCTTCCTAATGTCTCTAACTTGTGCTCCAGGAAGATAGCACACCTCTCTGGAGAGATTATCTGGGTGGCAAACAGGAGCCTCAGTGCCCCCAGTAAAGAGTCCCCAATTACTAAGACTCTCCACCCTTTTTTGGTGGCACTGGTATTGACAGAGTGCCCTGACTAGCCCCACTCCCTATGCTTGTTACTTGCTGTATTCTCAACATGCTTATCAGGGCATGGGTTTCAACTGTTTTCCAGACCCTCACTCCTGTCCGGCCTGAGAGCCTCGAATTTA